TATATATATATATATATATATATATATATATATATATATACCAGTTTAGAGTTACTTGAAATTTATTAAAGATATTTTTTTGAAGAACATTTTAAGAAGCGACATTAAAAGCTACGACCCTCTACCTCCAAAAACTTCACATGACCCAAATAAGTATGTTAGAATTTGATATTATTAAAGTACATTTTATTAAAAGATTGTATTATATATTTGTTTAATTTTTCAATAAAACTCTTTTCAGTTCTAGTGACGAAGCTGCAACAAATTTGTTGTCTTTGTTCCTGCAGACCTTGAGGCCATCATTCAGTCTCAACTGACTGCCAACAAGTTGTGTTATTCAACCGGGTACATTATTGCTTATGTAAGACATTACTATATTCATACATGGTGATGTAAATTTAAATTTTTGTCTATAAATTTAAGCTTTTACAATATCAATATTTTAAATTTAATTTATTTTGATGAAGCAGCTTTTACAAAATTCATAAAGCCATGATAAAATCAAAAAACCTGGGAACGTTTTAAATTGAGTTGTGATGTGAAATTTAATGAAGTAATGAAATTTATTTTCAAAGAAACAATGAATGGTGTTTTAGGTTGTGAACTACATTAAATTTTGAGGTGTGTAATGTATTATGAGTGTGGCCAGTCAGCCGCCTGTAATAAATTAATAATTACTCCGCTATTATCAACTTTTCCGTTTTCAATATTTTTTTACAAAACAACTTTCTACTAACTCCTTTTATCATTTTACATTACATATAATAAAAATCTGTAGCACTAACTGTCAGTGGCGGGTCAAGTCAAGCAGGGGCCCGAAGCAAAAAAAATGTGGGGCCCCCAAACTTAGCGTGTAGAAGCTTTGCAATTTTGAATTATTTCATACTTCCAGCAATGTAGGTGCTCTATAATAGTTTATAAATCCCTAAACTAAAAACCACTTCTAACTCTAGATATTATTCATTTTTTATATATTTTGCCAATAGAATTTTCACAAACATTAATGGATATATTAAGTGCAACAAATTAAAATGCAACAAATTAAAAAATGGTTAAAGCCAAATTATTCAAATTAAATATAAAAATTCTTTTTATTTACAAATAAAATATGAGTATATATATATATATATATATATATATATATATATATATATATATATTATATATATATATATATATATATATATATATATATATATATATATATATGGTAGTGTATAATCATTATTATCATCGGCATTTGTAGGTGTATAATTAGTGAAATTATAATTAGTGAAATAAAGAGAAAATTAGTGAGCGAAATTTAATTAAATTTAATTTAATTAAATTAATTCCGTTATAGAACGCTTCTAAGACTTTTCTAGTTTTTAGTGTTTCTGGTTTGTTTTTTCCTATTCTGCAATCCTTCCTTAGATACAATCTTTAGAAACTTTTGTCGAACGCTTTTTCAACCATCATGCTATTTTTGTTGCTTCTCATACATAGGTTAAAATTTAGACAAATACAACATAAAATCCAATGTGGTGGGTTGTAAGCGATGACCCTTTTGCTCAGAAGCACGCAAGGCAGCGTGGATGCAGTTTAAGGATACAGATAAAAGAATAGTTACAAAAATTTTCAATAATGTTTCAATATTTGGAAAAGTTCATGACATTTCTTTGGTGGCTTTATATAGATATTTTCAAACGGTAAATCTTTGTTACTACCTGAATTATCTGGCTTGTTCTTAATGGCGTCCTCATTTTTTTTCAAAAAAAAAAAAATTTAGTTCATTTTCTTAATTACAAACATCAATATCATTTTTGTACATATTTTTCAATTCTTTCAATGGCTCAACTTTTTTATCTTCCGACAAATTCCACTCGAGAAATATACGAATAGGTTCCAAAACAACTTTATATCTTTGAACTCTCTCGCATATGACACAAAATGTATTGATTTTAAAATTCTCTCGTTGTAAATTTATTCTTCATTTTCATCAAAAAACGAATTTTTTTTTCTGTTGAAAATTATTTCATCTTCCTTACTAAAAGATTGTAATCCTGATAGATCAGTTGCTTCTTTCAATACTCTTTCATAATCATATTGATAAAACTGTCTAATAATTTTAGTAGGATTGATCCTTTGAACAATTCACATTCTATTGATTGCCGTGATTTACTTATAGAATTTATACTTCGCAGAATGCAATTCCAAATAACAGTTATAAGTGCGCTTTCTTATTTATTCATTTTTAAGTAGTGATGTTGCTATTGTGGTAGCTTTTTCATCTCGTTCATTGCATAGGTCACTTAACGTTTCTTTTATTATTGTATATTTTAGTTTTAAAGCTGAAACAGCGTCAGCTCTTGCTGACCATCTTGTATCGGATACCCTACCGTTTTTAACGAAAGAGACTTTTTATCCTTGACAATATTTATTTTTTTGTTTTAAAATTTCAGTAATGAATTGATGATGAGAAAAGTGTAAATAGCTTCTGCACAAAACATAAAATATGGAACTGCAGTGTTACAGCTCTTGGCAGCAAAATTTCCAACTAAATTCAATGAATGGTTAGCACAAGGAATAAAAACCGCACTTGTATTATGTTCTTTAATACGTGCTTGTAAACCTGAGTACTTCCCTGACATGTTTAAAGCGTTGTCATTGACCCTGACAGTTTTTAATACCCAGGTCTAATTTTGTTAAAGTTCCAAGGCTTCTTGTTCCAAGTACGAAGAGTTGTGCTTATCTGTGGGAACGAACCCCAAAAATCCTTCATGTCACCGATAAATAAAACAAATCTAATCACAAAAGTAAGTTGGTCAACATGAGCAATATCAGGAGTGGTGTCAATAATAATACTGCAGTAAGTTGCAGATTTAATTTCTTCAATTATTTCAGCCCTTAATTGATTGCCAATGAGGCTTCATATTCGTCACAAATATGATAAGATAAATAATTTGCATAACCGCGTCCTTACTTTGCATATTTTTGTAAATGTAATTTTAAAAATTCATTATATTCACTTTACTGTTAAAAAATTTTTTTTTAAACTTCTCTCCAATAATACTCTTCTTTCTCTTTTTCCAGTAAAAGCTGAGCTTAATGCAGTTGATCTTTTGTACAGAGTCCTCATAGATAACATATGTTCTTTCGAAACTTCATGGTCTGATAAAATAGCTGTTACTGATCTCAAATTTTGAAAGCCAATAATTAATTTAGACTTTTTACAAAAAATGCAAGGGTAACAGTAAGCACACTAACTAGTTTTTTTCTAAAATTCCATTTGACTTTTTCTTATAAAAATTATCACTAGAGAGCCCTCCGCTGTAGTAAACATCATCATTTTCTTTAAATACCTATTCTAAACTTTCTATATTTCCTAAATTTTTTGGTTTATTCTTTAAATGGCTATAAAGCTATATCATTAATTTCTTATTTTTTCTTATTAAACATTCATCTGTATTATCTCTATCTGTTTTCCCACTTTTTGTTCATCAACCTGATGTTCAATTTCTTTTTCACTTTCTTCAACATTTTTTTAGTCTGTGACATGGTTCAAAAGAAGATGCTGATGGTACAGTAATACTATTTCGATAACAGATATTTATGAAATGCATACTTCTGACTTTCAACCAACTCTTGGTTTTTTATGGTTTTTTCCTCTTATCTGCCCTACTTTAATATCTTTTCATTTTGTGTTATATACTTTGATATCTTTTCATTTTGTATTATAAAAAATATTGTTCTAATTATTTGTCAAAAAGTTTATTTAAATAATATTTGTTAAATAAAGTTATATGTTCAAGAAGTTTTGTTTAAATTTCATTGATATCATTTTTATTTTGCCCAATACTAAATATAAATTTTTCCATTTGCTTACAGAATAATAAAACTGATAAAACATGTGTATTTATATTAATTAATTAATTAGTTAATTAATTAGACTTAATTACGTTTTAATAGCAGTAGCATCATCTACCAAGTCTGATAAATAATATATAATTAATTATAAAAGCCAATTGTTAAATTATAGTGAATTTATTTAAATATTTTTATATTTTATTAATAAATTTCTGTATAGGCCTGCTAAACGTTTTAATCATTTTATTTATTTTTTATTATTTATGTTATTTCCGTGGAAATATATATCCATGATTATTTCAATCGATTTTTTTTTTTATTATTCCTTAATACCTCAGTCAATTTAATTTTTTAGCCTGTTGCCGACGAGATCCACTGGTCGTTAATGGTCATCAGAATACCAAAATTCAATATTATTTTCAGAAATCTCAATAGCGTCAAATTCTGCTAAGAGGCATGTATGAAATGTAATTATAAGAATCGTTGAAAATTGAGATAGGCAAACTAACAAAAATATTTTGCGTAAAGAAAGAAAATTGTGTTTAAACTTTTAAACTGAAGTAGATGTAGTAATAAAACCATTTTTTTTACTTCAACGATGTTTAACATTTGTTAGACATTGGTTTGGCTGAGCGTGAATTTAAATGAGTTCCTTGATATGATTGTACAAAATGAGATAATATCGCATGTTCAAATAAAACAATCGTCTATTTAATTTGAGATGTATACAACAATTGCGTTCAGCGTTAACATTTCAGAAAATTTTCGACTGACGGTTGCAGGATTAGGTGAGGTATGTTTTTCGTTGCGGTATTTATTTTGTGTTGTTTGTTTCGATCTGCATACATTTTTGACGGATAAGTTTTTGCTGAAAATGTTTCAATAGAAATAATCCTAATCGTACCAAGTGTACCAGAACACAATTTATATATGTATATATATCTATGTAAATATTTAAATATAAATCTCTTTCTATATATATATATATATATATATATATATACGTTTGTGTGGTGTGTGTGTGTTGGTAAAAGACATAATTTTTACAATATTCTAAAAATTCTACCAAATGTTTGACGTTAATATGTTTGTAGTTCAATTTTTCTCACTAAAGTTTTTTGAAAGAAAAATCGAAAAAACGAACTACAAACATATTAACGCCAAACATTCGGTAGAATTTATAAAATATTGGAAAAATATATATATATATATATATAAGTCAATTGATATTTTTGAAAAAGGGGATAAACTGTTTAGTTCGAATCGTATGACATGTTTCAAATTAGTTTTAAAGATTAAAGGTTACTTTTTCTCTTTTGCATTTGCTTCAGAGGTTTCAACGACAAACATACACAGCGTATATGAATACGAGTGTAAACCACGCAGCATACACATTGCATATAATGAGCGGGAATCTCTTTGTATTCGAACCCAGTCATTGCAATAGAAAGACCAGGCGCTTTTAACCATTGTGCCTTCACGTACCTATGATTTATTTCATTAAATGATAGTTTGATTGGTACGAGCAAAATTACAGTTGTTCCATTAACTAATTTATAAGTAACTATTTCCTAATACAAATGAAATAATGTTTACCATCAAACGTTGCGTCCTTTCTAAGGTATTTTAATATAATGATCAAATTAGTTCACATTTTAACAACGATTGGTAAATAAATATTTTGTAAATTATGCCAGTCTTTCACATTTTTGCCATTTATATATAAAAATATAAATAATAATCTTCTGAGAACTGTTTAGAAGAGAGTCTCAACGACAATGCACCCCTTTTACATTTTAATTTATCAATAAACTCCGTTTTCGGCAATGCAGTTATATAATTTTTTACTCCATGGTGTCGGAAAATTATTTGAAGTTGGAATACACTTATAAAAATCATTCGTAATAACAGACATGTCTTTAGTGGAAAAGGGGGTTTCGTTACAAATGTCATGCACCTCGAAGGATGGATTCGGTGTGCAGGGGATTGGGAAATGTTTGTTGATATACTGTTGACTGGTTTGAACGCAGTGTTGCGAATAGTCCGATATTCTGTTATTCCAGCCCATAATGAATGAGTTAGATGCTATCCTAGCGTCGTTAGTGTTGAGGTTGTGTTTTAAATTTTCGTGCTCATTAATGCATGGTTTGTTGATCTTTGCGAAATTGTAGGTGGCGTTGCGTAGTTGGTTTCCCGCGTTAGCGTTAGAAGAAAATAGACTTGCGTTCGTCTGAGGCATACAGTATGAGTTTTTATTTCTACAAAAGATGCTGTTGAAATCGTTATTGTGATAGCGTGGTAGATAAAAGTTGCCATGCAGTGGGACGGGTGGCTTGTACGGTCGCTTCATTCGTCTTCGTCTTCTGAAATTACCCTTTTCAAACATATCTTCAAATTTAATGGACTCATCCAAGGCCCAGTAATTACCTTTTCGTTCGCCGCCGCCTTCTCTTGGAACTTTAACAAAACACTCGTTCAGGCTCAAATTGTGTCTTATGCTGTTTTGCCAGCCTTTTTTGTTTTGTTCAAAATAGGGGAACTTTTTCATGATGTACTGGTATATTGCACTCAACGTCAACCTCTTCTCCCTGGAGTCCTTGATGGCCATCGCGATCAGGGCGACGTATGAGTAGGGCGGCTTCTTATCGGCGCTGCTGTCTTGAGACTTTGACATTTGAATCTAAAATATTTAAAAAATATAAATAAATATTATCTAATTATTTTATTAATTTTAAAATATAATCAAAAACATTAAATTTGCAATTAACTAAGATTTTTAATTAGAATTTGAAGTATAATAAGATAGAGCAACATCTGAGAACGAAGTTTTTCTTTACAGATAGTGCGCTAGTACGGGGAGTGTGTTAAATGATTGAACTAACAAGTTGACTGATTGAAGTGACATGCTATTATTTCAACAATCTACACAATCTTAGAAAAGAAGATAGATTTTTAAAATTAATTAAACCCGTGTTCAATGTTCATATAACGAAGTGCTTAATATCGAAAAAAAAAAAAATCGAGAAATATGAAACTTTAGGTGAATAATTTTGACAGCAAACAAAAGAGAAATTCACAAGGCATGTGCTGATATTCGATCTTTCCAGACGAGTTTTTGAAAAAAACAGTTAACTAACACAGAAGCAAATCAAATTGTTTAATCTTTATGTTCGTATCATTTAATTAACTACTTGCTATTTATTTAAAGATTTTTACATCAAATCTAAAATCTGAGTTAATTAATGAATGTGGCCTCATTATCACTACCACATCTCATTTTACGACATCTTGGAATCTTATCTTTCAACAAAACTATGTTTTACAAATATTTAATTTTTGTATGAGGCTTTACCTGTCAAATTTCAAATTTTTTTTTAACAAAGCCATTCCATTAAAACATTTAATTATACCATCTAATTAATTATAAAGAAACATTGAAACATCACATTTAAACGCTACGGTGGTTAACATTATGTTATAAATTACTGACCAATTACCCTCAAACAACAGCCACCTATATTTATTTCAAATAAAAACGTTTAACTAATGTGATATCTGCGTTTGCTTTTTCTGGCCCTTTTCTCTGGAAGTCTCTACTTCCTTTTCTAACTACTTCTCCATCACTTGCAAAGAGCTGATCTCAAGACTCACCTGTTGGAAAAATTCACTGAGGTGCGCTGTTGAATATCGCGGAAATAGCGCTTTACAAGTTAATTGATTGATTGATTGATTTAGTGGTTTCTAGTGCATCCATGGAGCATGGAGCATGATCCATAAAGTTTTTTAGTAAAATCTCAATTTTCAAAAATGTATGTAAATGAAAGGTTTTCAACAATATAATTATTCTATAGGTCGTTTTCGTCATGACGGATTGTGAGTAAATTGAATGAATGATTTTGCAATAATGTTCTGGTCAATTATTTTTCATGTTTTGTTTTATTTTTTAATTCTACTTCTACTTTATAAAATTTTGTTGAATGAAAAAAATGTAAAAACTTGATTCAACTCTAAATGTAAAAATGCATTGATCTATTAAACACCTCAAGTCTTATTCTTTCTCTCTCTCTCTCTCTCTCTCTCTCTCTCTCTCTCTCTCTCTCTCTCTCTTTCTCTCTCTCTCTCTCTCACTCACTCACACACACACAACTTTGTTTAGTATTTTCATTTTCCATCGGCATAAAAGTTGCAGAAGTAACCATGTAATTGAGTATTTTGGAGTCAATATTGTAATCAATTATGTTCGGTGTGAGTTGACTAAGAGATCTCTTATTTATTTACTCAGAAAACCCCATCTCTAATAAAGGTTAAAAGGTTAAAAAGGTCAATTACACTCTTCCAAAGTTCAGAGGAATCAACAACACGCCGCAAACATGAATACATGCTAAACTACGCATCACATACGAAGCATGTGATAGGCGAGGATCTTTTTGTCATATTCGAACCCGGTTATTGCAAAACAGCACCGCTAGGCCGTCACTTTACGCTACTTTTTACAACAATATTCTTATCATGTTTAAGTAATTTAATAAATGCTCATGTACGTTCGTCATTAAATAAATTTGTGTAACTGTGAGTTTAGGTGTGGTTGATGTTTGATATATCAAGCTTTGGCTAAAAGTTGTTTGCTCTCTTTAAACGGGCGTCCAAAAGAATTTATCTGGTTATTCGCATTTTTAATGGTACAGTAGGAAAATGTTTCGCTATCATCAAAGTTTTTAACAATCGATTATCACGTACTAACTTTGTTGTCGTTGAAATATTTTTTATTGTAATAAATTAAATTTGTTCTGATTGAAACTTTCTATCAGTCACATTGCATAATTAAATATACCTATATTCAGAGTTTATTGTTGATTCGCTTTTATAATCAATGGTTAATAGTGACATTTGAAACCTCATAACTTCACAAAATTATTTTGCACATTTGATACATGGCATACGTACATAACAATTTATAACATAAATACGAATGAAACGGTTGGGAGACAGGCTCGCGAGGGGTTTGCGAGCTGCTAGGGGTTTGCGTTAGGGCTAACTTTGATCGAGCTTGATTGCAAATTGCGAATTCTGTCGGAATAGGAATTAAAAAAAAATTCCTACGGAATGTCGACATGTCGAAATTTTACAAAATAACTACGATCAAGCGCGATCAGGTTCGGATTCAGACGGAAATCGTCGGAATCTGACGGAAATTACAGAAAATGAAACAAAGATGATGATAGACAGAATTCGAGTTTTAAAGGAAAAATGTTTTAATTTAAATTTTTTATTAATTCATTCAATAAAAACAAATATTTATTCATAATTTTACGAATGTAACAAACTTAATTTAATAATGTTTGAAAAGATTATTTTTATTTACATATTTAAAATAATGAAAAATTTCTTAGTTAAATTATAAAAATGTGTCATCAGTTAAGAATTTACAAAAATTCTAAAATTAACAGAAAAAGTTGTACCAAAATTCTGTGAAACAATTTATTTGAAAAATAAAGATGAAAAAATGAATTATTATTTCTTTCCTTGTTTTTTGGCATTGGTAATCGAAAATTTTTGCAATCCATCAGATTAGCTGATATATGTGACCGGTAAAGTAGTGGATATTCAAAAGTTTGATAATGGTTGAAAATACGGAAATATCGTAGATTCCGAAAAATTAACATATTTCAGAGGTAATCCGACGGATTTTGTACTTGATCGTATTTGATCCTTGTTGATCCCATTTGATCGCACAATTCTGAAGCGGACGTAATTTTTTTTAATTTTGACGATCAAATTTCGACTTTTTTTAGACAAACGCAGATCCCTATCATCTGCCTTCTTTGATTAAAGCATCGACATTTCCCGGAACATTTTGAGCTATGTCATGTCTAATCTTTCCACAACCAGTGGTTCATTACTTATAGTCTTTAAAAACTTTAACACATATTCATATTTTGAACTCCTACATCATCCTGGATGAAAAAACTTTCAGATATTTTAATTTTAATATTTCTAGTGTTTTTAATGTAGTGTTGCAAATGGACATTAAAGAATTTTATTTGGGTAAACTTTATTAATTTTGCCTCAATAAACAAAATCAAAACGCGAGAAGGCTGATACGACTACAAACTTTGTCATTAAACACTTTAACACTTATTCATATTTTGAACTCCTACATCATCCTGGATAAAAAACTTTTAGATATTTTAATTTTAACATTTCTAGTGTTTTTAATGTTGTGTTGCAAATCAACATTAAAGAATTTTAATTGGGTAAACTTTATAAATTTTGCCTCAATAAACAAAAACAAAATGCGGGGAGGCTGATACGACTACAAACTTGATTGAACATACTTCAAATTTGAATGAAGCATTTTACAAAATACAAAGACTGAATTATTTTTCAAAACATTACTGAACAATTTAACAAATTAAGTAGGAATAAATAAAGCACCACCATCCTTTCGTAAAAACTTAAAACTACAAATATATTAAAAACTGTTTGAAAATTCTGACAGTGCTTAAAGGAAAATCTCTATGCCCTGAAACGGTTTCGAAAATGAAAAATATTTTGCATTTTATTTCAAATGTATACATCTGATTGTTATATTCTTTTTAATTTAGCGATTTGTAAGACAAAATATAAAATTTTATGTCTAGAATAATAAAATTATTAATAAAATGATAAAATAACGTACCTTTTGAATTTTTCTAAAAAGAAAGGCAAAAAACTTTTGCTGCTAATCAATCACTTCCTCAGTTTCAACAATTTTGTATTCCAACAATCATGACCGTGGTAGAGTTAGTTATTTATAATCGTTATCTAATGTGCAATGTAAATATTTAAAGTATGTAATTTAATAAAATGAATGAGAATTTATCAGGTAGGTGTGTGACACTTAGGATCAATCAAATCTATTCATTTAATTCAATGATACTATCGTCCAACGTACACTCAAATAAAACATTTGATTTTAAAAATTGAAAACTATTTTGTTCTTTAAAACGTAAAGATATAACTGACGAAACGATGAAGACTAAGTTAGGAAATTAACAGGCGCTAATGCCAATCATGTTATAGACAGACATGAACTCATCATATGATGGAAACTTAAATAGAAAAGGATGGAAAAAGTTTGATTGACAAGAAACAGCTGCACAGAAATCTGCCTGGTAATATCAAAATTTGCATTGTATGTATATTGTAACAGAACAAAAACTCGCATGTTATTATACAAACAAATTCGCATAAGCACGTTAATCAGCAATAGAGTGCAATCCAAATAAGTTTACATTTACAATAACGGTTTATTTCAGATGCAAACTAAAAATATAAACATAACTTTATTTTTCATTGGATAAATATTATAATTGAATTGGTGGTTTTCTTCATTTAAATTTTTGAAAAATCATTGTGTCAAGTAAAAACACGTGACAGGAAACATTTCGAAACAGATATTATATAAATAAATGCACGAATTGATTCCGTGTATCAATTAAAGGCGCTTGTACACATACAGAACATCACGCACGCACAACCAATCAGTTACGATTCAAGCGAACTTAATGAGTTTCAAAATGATTAGTGTGCAACAGGGCATTCTCCGAGCGACGCTCAAGAAAACAAAAACACGATTCTCATGATGATATCGGACGCCTGGCTTTTGGCCGACGAATAAGAAGCGGCCTCCACCAACACGACCCTTGATTTCTCGCTTGTTATCTCCTACTTTTCAAGTCATTTATTATGATCAAAAAATTATCAAATACTTCGACAGCGACAACAGACGGCTCTGACATCTTATACCAGCTTACGAAGTAACTATAAATCAAACATAAACGCAGATAGAATAGGTGCGCATACGAAAAATTTTTATGCAAGTTTGATAGATTTGATCCTGGAGGGATCATTGAAGGCTGGTCAATTGATCAATACGATGAACGAAGTTTTTAAAAGCAATGCGGTAACAAGTCGTTCAAAGAAAAATTCATTAAAAACATATACGACCACAATTCACATTATCACAAATGCACACATGCTGACAATGCAATATAATGGCAGAACAAACCATTCCAACAAAAAATCAAATGCTGTAAAAATACATTATTTACATATACGAATTGAAAAGGAATTATTTTTTTACGAGTCCTTTCGACGTAGGATAGCGGTTTTTCTTTCTTTTAATATTAGGATAATCAGAAAGAGCGTTGGAGGACGAATCATTAATCACGTCACCGAAGTTATCCTCAATTAAAGCGGCATGTAAAACTGCTTGAATCTTCGGCGCTATTGTTGGACCTTCGTAATCTTGAGTCGTACGTGTCGGCAAATCCAATTCAACCTGGTTAAATTAATTTCATAAAAATTAATTTATGAAATACATATATTACATACATATATATGTATGTAATATATGTACGATCCATTAGTAACATTAAAAACCACGCGTGCACGCTCAACATTTGGTGGTGGTATTGAGCCACACAGTTAAATAATTTCAAATAATTTCGTTAATACCTATTTATTATAATTTACACTTTACTACAATTAACAAAACAGATCTAAAAATCTACAAACGCATCTGGGTTAATATTCCTTTTGTCTAACAAACCACTAATCTAGTTTCATACTACTGTAGCGTTCTGAATAACGTCAAGCGGAAAAATATGAGTGATGACTAAAAGCGGCTGTTCTGGAGATGATGATCGAATTCGAATTTAAAATGATTCCGTGTTTTAAACGCAAAAGTTTATGTGTGGCCTTCTTATTGGCACCTCCCCTGCGAGTAATGTAACATGGAAGAATAATACCACTATTACATTTAATAAAAACTGAGTTTTTTTTAAATTTAAAGTTGAAAAAGATGGCCGAAGGTGACGAGCCACAGAAAGTCTCGACAATGTTGTAAATCTCGGTCTGAAAATTGATTATCATGGTTAATCTAAAAAAATGCAAAGCAGCGCACACCATCGTGATACAAAACAGAAAATTTAACAGAAATGTAAAATCATAAACCTTTAAAGCTGTATGAGGAGAGGGATCTAGAAAGGGATGGCATAGAGGTGACTCGATTGAAACATGCAAGTTGAAAAAACACTCATATCAGCTACAAAGTGGTACATTAGGCCAGAGGCATGAGCGTGGAACAATCTAACTAGCGATGCTGCTAAAGCTGAACCAGCAAATGAGTTTGGAAGAAAAGAGTGCTTAAAAGATAAACTTCCTTAATTTTTTAATCTTAAAGAAATAATGAAACCCATTAAAAACATTTAGAAAATTGCAATTTCAAAAAAATCAATTGACGAAATAAAAGCTGTGAAAAGCTTTCAGCCACGAACCAACTTAATGATATATCTAAAAAACAGTCAGCTGAATTGGTAGTTTAAGTCAATTTCCATCTTTTTAAAATAGGTTTTTAAAATAATAAATGAAGAAGCCTACCTAGATATATCACACAACAGTCAATGAGAATACCTACCTTGATACATCACACAACAGTCAATGAAGACATCTACCTTGATATATCAAACATTAGTCAATAAAGATGCCTACCTTGATATATCAAACTTCAGTCATTGAAGATACCAACCATGATGCATCACATGACAGTTGATAAGGCCGCAAACCTTGATGTGCAACAACCAAGTCAAAAAGCCTACTTTTAATTGCCCTCTCTTGAATAAGGAATGATTTTCAATCAACCACTGCTTTTCAATAAGAAACTACGAATAAGTGCATTAACATAAACGATAAACAATGGTTACAATTACAATGACCATTTGAAAAGTAACAAACTTGTATGAAGTTATCCTGCATGTAGCCATTAAGATCATTTTTGCATTCGAGATTGAGGTCCAAACAGTTTTTGTTTTCACCATCAGATTTTACAAGCCAGTTTTCTGCATTCTCATCATAAAAAGTTTTCAGAAGAAATAATTTTTTATCATTATGTGGTATGAAGTTTTCAATGATGAGTGACTTGAGTTTAACTTCACAGATCAAATCATTTATCGTTTGTTGACAATTCTCACGTTCTCTTAGATGATCATTTTTATCATCAACAATTTCATTTTTGATTGTCTGCAGTTGTTTGAAAATTTTTTTCAACTTTTTTGTTTTTATTTCAGCTTCTTGCTGTGAAGATGTGTAGGTTTCAAAGAGATTTAAAGCCGTTTCTTCATGTTCTTCAATTTTTTGCTTCATTTCTTTTTCTTTTCGTTGGTGTTCTTCTATCTGCTTCTTTTTTAGATTTAAAGCCATTTGCTGTTCGTTTGTATGGTCAACTATATTTCTATTTCCAGTAAGCAACTTGCTTTCCATTTTTTGAATTTTTGAAATTAAATCTGATTTGACTTCTTTTTCTTGTTGAAGACACCTTTCTTTCTCATTTAAATCAGATAATAACCTTTCTTTTTCTTCGGACAATAAGTTTTGATCATTTGCTATTAATAACTTTTCAGATTCAAATTTCATCCTCTGTTCCTGTATGTCATCATCTTCAGAAGACACATCATTTGCATTAGCTGTTTTCAAACCTTGTTTTAAATTACTGGAGCCAGTTTTGCTGAGTGCCTCTTTCAACCTTTTAATTTCCTCTTGAAATTTTCTAAGCAGTGCATCCTTTGGATCTTCATTTACGTGCGGCTTATTTTTTATGTTTTTGGCTCGACTGGCATACCTCAAAGTCGTAAGTGTCTCATCTAAATTATAATTAGCAGGACCAATGTTTGCAACCATGACTGTTTTGGCATTCCCCCCAAGGGAGTCTTGCAGAAGCCTTGTCAGTTTTGAGTCCCTGTAGGGTATGTGAGTATTTTTGGAATCGACCAGGGCAGATATAACATTGCCAAGGGAGGAAAGACTCAAATTGATTTTCGTTGCTTCTTTTAGCCTATCGCCCTCTGCATTAGTTTTGCTTTGTCTCTCACTACCAGCCAAATCAACCATATTTAATTTTCCAACTCTATAATTCTTTCCTTCCTCGTTTTTCTTGTCCTCACTGCATTCGATTGTGATTATGAATATAGCATGCGACCTTGAGCTCTGTTCATTCATGTTAGTCGAACCGACTGAACGATTTTGGTTGCCAACATCCATTATCTGCAGAATCTCCTGCTCATTTTTGGTAACAAATGATGACAAATCTTTGACATAAACACCACTTTCTGGATGTTCTCTTAGCTCCAATCTGGCTTTTTGATCTTTTGATAACAAATCTCTGATTTCTTCCATATAAATTTCCAGGTAAGAAGCTCTGACTAAAAATTCAAGATCAGTGGTGCAAGAGATGTAATTGAATATGTACTGGAAAGAATTAGGTATGACACCTTGCATCTCTTGGTTGTTTCTAAGACCCTGCATTGTGAATGTTTTGCCAGTACCTGTTTGACCATATGCAAAAATAGTTCCATTAAATCCTTCAAGAACAGAATGAATAAGGTTTTGAAATGTTTTCTCAAAAATATCTTTTTGGGATGAATTTGATCCATAAACTTGATCAAAATAAAATTGTTTGCCTCCTTCAACTTCAATCATATTTTTGTCTGAATGCACTTTTACGACATCAGCAAAACCTGATTCAATTTCTTTCTTGTCCAAGGGTCTGCATCGGACCACAACTTTGACACATTCGTCTTTTGACATTTGGATATTTTTAATCTAAGAAAATTAATAATAAATAAAATATAAATAATTATCAAAATCAATTATCAAAATTAACAAACATGGCAAAATAAATAATGGAATCTGCAAAAAATTTAAACCTTAATATATGTGAAATAGGATAGTCACATACACACACACACGCACACACATACTGATACACAAGATGAATTTTTATTATAATTTATTTTTTTGGTTTTATAAAAATTAAAAGGCCATGCTCATTCCATTTAATTTAAACAGTCAATTCAAATTTCATATTTATTTACATTTTTTCATCTTTGTTTTGATTTGCACATTCATACATTCATATTGCTTTAATGGGCAGCAACTGAAAAAGACTTTCATTAGAAATGCTTCAGAAATTGACAAAATTATTGTCTAGTATAAATGTAAATATAACATATTAAAAATTAAAGCAACATTGCAGAATTTGTTTATTTATTATTTATTAGTAGTGGCACGTTGTAGGTAGGTGCTGTTGTGCTGGTAACCGTTTTTTTAATTGTGATCGTGAGATGATTTTATTTTCACTTTTCGTTTTCATTTTCAGTAATGAGTAAGCAGTAGAAGTATAACTAAAAATTTTTTTTGGCAATTTTTGGTTTCCCATGCCACTATGAGTGGAGAAATTACATTTTAAAACTGGAAATATCATTTGAAAGTGTTGAATCTTAAAAAAGTTCACCTCCTTAAGCTGAAAACCGTTTTCTCCCATCTATCTATTGTTACAGTACAGTTTAAGGTATCACAGCTTCAGTTTATTGCTGGTGTGATTTTGCTATATGTATGCATGCTTATTACATAATCTTTCATATTATATATTATATTTGTTATCCTCACCTGACTTTTGATATTTTATAAACTTATTTTGATAACCTAAACTCATAAAATTTGTTTATTAGTAGATAATTAAATTTACACTCAAATTATAATTCGACAGGACTATAGTCAAGATGTCTAAAAATAGTCTTCCTTCAGATTTGAATAAGAAACAATGGGAATCAAATTTGGTGAGATTTGAAACAGCCAAGAATTCAAAAAAGTATGCAAAGATTGTTGACAGTCTTGATCAAATGAGCAAAATGCCAACAGAACAGCATATCCTGGACAGATTTAAGTGCTTGACTGCAAATGTGAAAAGTAGACAGGAGAGAGTTGTGATAGTGGTCAAAGAAGTAAAAATTTTATGGAAAAAACTGAATCTTCCAATTCAAAAAGGCAAATCTACAGTGGAAAGAAAAATTGAGAATGTACTAAACAAGTATGAAAATGACAGCAGAAAACAAGGAACGCAAGACTTTACCAACTTGTTCAACGTAACTGATGAAAATGGAGAATAGTTGTGTAGGAAGATAAAGCCCTCTATAATCTTCAGATGTCAACAAATGGTAGAGCTGGCTACTGCACCACAATTGAAGATACACAAGAAGTCCATCCTAGAAAACTAAAGTTGATTAAGCAAAAAGTCAGTCAAGATACTAAGGATGATTTAAACAGTGAAGATGAAGAACAGCAAAGAGTCAGTCAAGATACTAAGGATGATTTAAGCAGTAAAGATGAAGAACATTTTAACACTGAAGAAGAAAAACAAGATTCTGATAGTGGTTCTCAAGATTCAGATGCTCTGAAGGAAGAAGAAGAAATTGTTTGGAGAGATGATATGGCTTTCCTTCATCACTTGATCACTTATTACAGACAGTTTAAGAAAACAGGATGCTTCCCTAAGTAAATTTCAGAACTTTGCCAAATATAAGCAATAAAGGATAGAATAGCCGAGCAATCTAAGCTTTGCTAGCTTATATTTTACTTCCAGAATTTTGACAGTCAGCCGAAGGTCAGTCATCATGTGACTTTATTACTGGCACGTGGAGTGACATCTGGTTTTCTGGTCTGGTTTATAATCAGGATAACTACAATAATTTGGCAGCCGTTTGCAAAGATCACTCAAAGGCAATAAAGACTTTAAGGACTTTTTGGTCAGTTGAGCCGACTCCAATCTCAACTCAAAGGTCAAACATTTGTGTTGAATGTGCAATTAAAGTTCTGCAGAATTTACTTCTATTGTGCAAAAGCATTGAAAAAATTAACATTAAATTTCTTTTGACCAATGAACACTAAAACCTGTATGTTTGTATTTCTGATTAAAAAAACCATTTTGTACAATGTATACTATAAATAATTGTATATATAATATAAATTTGATTAAGGGGGTGACATTTTTTAAAGTTGACACTTGCCATTGGATTTTTCTTGATCTTTGCATTAAAACTCCACAAAAATAACATGGGAATAGGCAATAGGGTCTTTAAAAATTCTCATATCCTTAGTTTTAGTAAGCAGTAAGTTCTATTCAGTCAGTCAGCAGATCTAGTGCTGACTCTAGTGCTGCATCAAATCAGGTCCGAATGCAACAAATCCAACATCTAAGATCAAAGCATTGAAAAAACTTTAATTTTCATTAAACGAAATTAAATGATTAAATGTTAAAATTTAATTAAATATTAATTCGAAATTTATAATTTTTTTTTAACTTTATTAAATAAATTTATCAAGGAGACAGAGGTAAAAATACAAATAAAGATTTAAGAACGCAGCAAAAACGTTTATTGTTCACACTTTAAAAAAACCTTACGTTAGTCGTGAGAACAAACTTAAAAATTTATAAAAGCAGAAACATCGAAGAAAATCGACCACTCACTCGAACCGCAGGCAACGAAACAAGTCTACGGTAGCAACAGGAATGTTTACCAAAGACAAAGATGTTACGTTAAATATTTGAAAAGTTTTTCAGGGATAATAATAATAATGTTCTTTTGATGAAACATACCATACACTTAAAATACTTAAACTTAACATAAGCATAAATAAATGGAACAAATTTACATACATTGTTACTTACTAAGCTATGGATTTCGTTAACGAAAAAAGAAACTAAAACGACGAAAACGAAAAGAATTAATCATAATTATATATATATATATATATATATATATATATATATATATATATATATATATATGTTGGTAATAGACCATAATTTTTACAATATTCTATAAATTCTACCGAATGTTTGGCGTTAATATGTTTGTAGTTCGTTTTTTCGATTTTTCTCACTAAAGTTTTTTGGTGAACGTTTAGTTTATTAAAATTCAAAATAAACTTATTTTTCGAATTCATGCTGCAAATAAGGCCATATTTCAATTCCGAATGATTCATCGTCAGTGCTCCTTGCTGTATATATAGGGAAATATTGACTTTGTCAAGATTAACTTTGACGTTGTAAAAATTAACTTTGGTGTTGTAAAATTGAACTTTGATGCGAATTAGGTGTCAGGTTTCTTATCTTCTTTGGTCTCCTTTTCTTCATCGATAGTATCATATTCTTTGTCACTATTTACGATGCTAGTTTTTATTACTTCTTTGTTTTCGTTGTTGGTTAAGCGCCGGGTTGGAAGTGAGGTTGTCATTTTTTGTAGTATATTTATTTTTGGTTTATTGATGTCGATTAGGACGGCTTCTGCAATTTTAAGATGCGTGTAGTTGCTGTTCTAGTATATTACTTTGGTGTTGCTGTCGAGGATTTCACGGCTAATTGTGATTGAGTGTGTTGAGTCCAAATGAGATTTGATAGCACCACTCTGTTTATGCATCGTAAGCCTTCTAGTCAGTGAGGTAGTAGTAATCCCGATATATGAGTCATGTTGACGTGCACAGCCGTCAAAGGGGCAATTAAATTCATATATTACGTGATTACGCTTTAACTCTTTAACGAGTTATCTCTAGGACTGCAGTTGTTTTTCAGTATTATGTGAGACGTCTTTTTATTGTTTTAATAAATTCGGAGTTTAACTTTACTATTTGGGTTGGTTGGTGTGACATTTTTATTGATGATATGCTTAAGAATAGCTTCATCTACCTTGTATGCTGTTGACACGTGATTTCTGTAATACAAGATGATGTCGTTATATTGATTGTTGGTACTAGGAAGGTTATTGCTGTGTAGTAATTTATTTTTAACAATCTTTTCAATAGAGTAAGTCTGTTATCCATTGTTTACAAGCAGGTTTGTGACCCTCTTTAATTCAGCGTCGCGATTTTCAATATCGGAAGAGTGTGTGAATGCCCGGTTCACAAATGATTTTATTGTGCTGTCTTTAAATTGTTCAGTGCATTCACTTTGTCTACTCAAACAAATTCCTGTATTCGTTTCTTTGACATAGACCGCGGTTTTGATTCGTTCTTCGCCATGGGTGACCAACACATCGAGGAAAGGTAAACGCTGTTTCTTTTCACTTTCAATGGTAAATCTAACTTTTGATTTGTTTAAGGTACCAAGAAGTTGGGTGATTTGTTCAGGATCGTTATAGGAGACAAAGATATCATCCACGTATCTGGCGTAGATATTTGGTTTTAAACTTGCATTGTTTTTGAATGTTTCATTCTCCAGCTGTCCTAAGTAAAAACTGGCAAATAGGACGCCAAGGGGGGAACCCATAGCGACACCATCGATTTGCTTGTAAAGTTTGCCTGTGGGGCTGTGGAATGGTGCTTCAGTAGTGCAAATTTGAAGAAGGGACTTCAGTTGTGCTTTCGGTATGTTCAATGGAACCATATCTGAGTTGACAATTATGCCGATTGTATCATGAATTGGTACATTTGTGAATAATGATTCAACATCCAGAGAGGCAATAAATTTGGATGCTGAGGAGATTAATAAACTCACGGGAAGATTGTAGTGTGTAATTGTTTGGAATATATGGGGTTAAAATTTTGTTCAAGAATTTTGTTCAGGGTAGGTGACAGTTGTAATTTGGCTAATAATTGGTCGGATGGGATGATTCTTTTTATGCGTTTTTATATTTCCATATAAGTAGACAGGAGAGTATTCGCCTATAAGTGATGGAAGTTTGTCATCGGTTTTCTTATCTTCTTGATTATTGTGTTTAGTTTAGTTTTTAGTTGAGGAGTGGGATCTTTTT